ACACACAATGCGAGTTATGCTCGATTTTTTGCCGATTTTTGACACACCACGCCAAAAAGGTTGCCCATCACTGCCCTAGGCTGAAGCCTAGTTAGCCTATAGGAAAATCCGGCCCTGTATCTAATCTAAGAGAGTGTGTCACATAAATCCCAAAAAGGACATCAGAGCTCTCCGTCCAGAAGTCTCCAAATTTCAGACTGCCTTGTTAATCAGATGCCTTCTTTCGAGTTGTCTACCAGTACTTTCGATCAATGATGGGTCAATTTCTGGTCAATCCCATGGATGGTAGACTTTGTTGACTAGTAGCCTAAGGTAAGGTGACTTGGGCACACTTTCTTGTTCAGTCAAGACACACTTCTGGTTGCACTTTGTAACACCTCTCCTTCCTTTCTTGATGTAGCAGGACCTGTTTTTTTCTTTAAAAGGATATCGTGTCCACTACCTTGGAGATCAAGGGGAAAGGTATAAACTAATTAAATTCTCTGCCGGGAAAAAGACAAGGCCTGCGCCTGTGGCCAAGGGAGCATCTCGAACATTGCTAGGGCAATCTGCTGCTGATGGAAAGCTCAAGTGAGGAAAAAACCCTCAAGGGCTTTTTATTCAAGTACATTTCAGTGCTTTTAACATTAGACAAAGCAGATCAGCCTCCTGTGCGCTGAGTCCGAAGATGGAGACGCCAGTAAAGCCAGCTGGCTTCAATGAAGCTCTGGGCACGCTGTCTTCCTAGTATTTACCGCTCGCGCAGCAGCTGCCCGTGGCGGAGAAGCCAGCTGCCCTGCCAGCCATGGTTATTTCTTCCCGGGCTTCTAAGCCAGACGCTTGCAAAAAAGCGCCTCAGGCTCTGCAGCGGTTTTCCGCAAGGACAACTTCTTCTTTCCTTCTTCCAGGCATGAGCGACCCGCTTACTTTTGAGACCGAGAGAAGAAAGAGCAGGGCGGGAGGGGGGTGGAAACATGATGCCCCCAAGCAGGGAGCACTCCCTATAATTTCTTTTGGGGGGCGGGGTGGGGTGGGGGGGACGGGACCAGGCCACGCTTTGGTTGATGGGCTGCCGTCCATCAGCCAGCAACATCGAAGGGAGTCGTGAGGAGGGAGATAAGGATCTGGCGTGACGTCAAGGAGGAGCTTGGTAAGCGGAGCTTCTGTGAGGTACCGGGGCTCTTGAGCGCGGCGTTGGCGCTCCGGCAGCGAGCGAGGCGAAGCTCAGCTCAGGGCTGCGTCTGGGGAGCCTGGTCGTCTGGGAAAGGCGCGTGGAGGCTTTTGCGCGCGGCAAAGGGAAAGAGCGGGCGAGGGACGCGGGAATCCGGGAGTGTGGGGTGAGTGAAGGAAACCTGGCGGCGGTTCTGGAGCGAGAGCAGGGGAGGCGCTGGGTCAAAAGAGCGGCCGGAGCGGGGAGAGAAGCGGTGGCAAAGTGCGGGAGGGTGGGTGGCTAAGGGGGCAACTGGTGGAGTGATGCTGGAGGACCCTGGAGGAGTGGGGATGGGAGGGAATGGCGGGAGAGACCGGTACAAAGATGGATTTTGGAGCTGGACGAAGCATTAACAAAAAGTACCGAACTCCCCGCGCATCCCAGTCACTTTGGTTGGTACCCTTCGATTCTCCCCTCTCCCCCAAACTTTATCGGTTTTTGACTGCAGCAAAACCGATGAGGTTTCTTAACGGCGCGTTACAAACTAGTGGATTAATTTTTGTGGACAAGATTTCATCATCTGCATAGAGAAATACCTGGGGAAGTACCCAGGGATGGCATTCCTGTCTCATCCAGTGCATCTCATAAAGGGGACCATTCTCCATCAAGGCTGATGCCATAAAGATTGGCACTTCTACAATCTTTCTCTCTCCCTCCCTCCCCCTCCCTCTCCCTCCTCTGTATTTAACATTACCTGAATTTTGGAATTAATGAAATCTGTCAATCCAGGAACAAAGGATTAATCTGGAGCCAGAGCACTGTGAATGTATGTGTTTTTGGACACAGTTGGGAAGTAATGGCAGAAACAATATAGAGATGTATATTGGGGTTCATCCTTGACACCTATTTTCAGTATTGAAATACAGACCTGGAAGAGACATTTTCTCATCTGATTCTTGATATATCAGTTTTAACAAATGATTAATACCGGTAATGAAAAAATAGGAATGCAAATATAGTGAAGTCCTTAAAATATAGGATGAAACAGTATGTATGAAATTGAATTTGTGTACTTGTAGTTTTATATTATATTGTGATTTTGGATAAAGATCAAAATTCATGCAATGTTACCGGTACCACCTCTTATAATCAACTTATGAATCTTTGGAGGGATATTGGGGAAAAATCATTCTGATGATGCTGTATGTCAATTAGTGAAGAATATAAATATTGGTTGGGGTGAATTTGTTTTAGGGTTTATTTGGGGGGGGGGTTGTAGGAATCCATTAGGTTTGTGTCTTCCTGGGACCTCCCTATATAAAAAAGAATATTTGAGTCAGCTTCCCATTTACTCTTTCTTGAAGTGAAACCCAAGTTTTTAGAATTGGAGTTTGGATCCATGGTGAATGCATGCATTTGGAGCAGTGTTTCTCAACCTTGGCGACTTTAAGTCCTGTGGACTTCAACTCCCAGAATTCCCCAGAGCTGGCTGGGGGATTCTGGGAGTTGAAGTCCACAGGACTTAAAGTCGCCAAGGTTGAGAAACACTGATCTGGAGTATCAAAACAACTGAGGTTCTGAGATCTCAAATATTAGTAATCCCCCCCCTTTTTTTACATTTATTGTCAATCTTTGTTATTTAGGTAAAATTGCCACATTATGTTAAACAATGAGAAATTAAAACTAGAGATTTTTGGAAATGGGTATATTGGGTGGAAACAAACTATAATCAAGAAAAATTTCCTGGATATATGTCTATATTGCACCGGTGTTCTGGATAATTTTGTCTAAAATGTAATTCAGGCTTCAAAAGTCAGTTTGAGATTGTGGAAAATAAACATATTTATTTCATGTCAACTAATTTTTTATGTAGATTATTTTAAATAAAGGTATAAGTGCCTGATGCTCTTTGTCTAGTGCGAAGCCAGGCAGATTAATTAATAAAAATATGGCCAGTTTAAGATGTCAAGTATTTCTGTTGGTTCAATAAACAACTTAATATCTTTTTATATGTTACTGGAGTAGTCTATCTTTATTTTTAGATTATTTTTATCTTTATAAACCACTGTTAATTAGATTTTGCACAGGCAATTTTTACATGTGGGGACCCAGCTCTAACAAAAGGCAAATAACTTCTGTATAATAAGTTGGTGTTGAAATATTGTCAGCAGTGTTAGTCATCATTTATGGTTTTATTCTTGATAAGAGAAAAATCCTTGCTTAGCTAGATAACATAAGGAAAGAGTTAAGCAGAAGCAGCAATGACAGACATTCATGAAAACGAAGAGAAAGAGACGTAGGTAGCCATAGTAGTGGCAGATGGAATCATATTCTTCTTTTAAAAAGTGCCAGGAAAGCCAAAAAAAAAAACTTTTAAATTCTAGATTGTATTAAAATATTGTTTTTTATGTTTATTTTATAAGCCGTAATTTGAGAGAACTAAAATCATGGCTTGGCATGAATTCGGTGTGCTGAATTGGCTTCGAGAGAGTCGGCAGTCCCGAAAATTAATCTTGCTGATTGTCTTTATTGCTCTGCTCTTGGACAACATGCTGCTGACTGTAGTTGGTATGTAAAAAGTTCATTATTGATATTATAAATATTGTAACTGCTTTGCTTGTGGGTAGCCTTAAACTCCTGCATGAAGTTTCCATGTCTGTACATGCATGTTTGCTACATCCATTTCCTTCCTTTGTGGCTTTTGTAAAACAAAATGGCAGGAAAGATAAAAAGTTGGCACGTCATGTCTGATGAAAGAGACTTTGGCTCTTTCACTCTTACGTTTTATTATGGTTTAGGTTTTCAGTGTCACAACAATTAGCCATTAGGGAAACAGCAAGAAATTGAATTAGCTTGCATGATGGCTTGAATGTATGAACATTGATCAGATAATTAAACATTGTGTTCTTATCAAAGGAAGAGATATTTTATTCTAAAAGGACTACTGTAAAGGACTGGCTCATCTACTGTAGGCAAATCTTAAATTTGGAATCTTCTTTTATTGCTATAAGCAATATAAAAAAGTTTGAAGCAAGATTTGTTTTCAGATAACACAAAACCTCTGTTTTTATTTAGTGGTAATGAACTGTTATTGTTTATTGTTCATATAGCAATTGGCAAGACAGTAACTCTTATAAAACAAATACCTGACTTTTCAGGTAAACTAGATAGGAAACACAACCAGAGAAGCTAATTCTACTTTCCTGCAAGGTTACATTAACAAATTCTTGCAAGTCTGAAAGTACAAATCTCCCACCGTCTCCTTTTCAGTCTGAGAAACAAGGGAGGATCCCTCCTGAGCCTCTTTCTCCTCTCATTATGCAGCTGTAGAGTATGTCTTTTGTTATCTGACCATTCTCTGGGCTTATCTATGGAGATTCTCAGTCATCCATGTCATGGTACTCCCAAAGGTGCTTTTTTCAAGAGGCAACTGGACTTTCTGGTTTTTTTTTTATGACGGTTCACTTCTCATCCAAGAAACTTCTTCAGTTCTAAGCGAAGCGAAATGTCTACAAAGAAAAAACAGAAAGTCCAATTGTCCCTTGAAAAAAATCACTTTGGGAACATTCTCAGAAGAGCATTTCTTTGCCCTGAGTCTCAAAGTCATTCTCACGTATCATTGCACAGGGGGAATTTCTTCAATAAAAGAATTATGAAGATGAAAAAGCATTCACAGAATTAGCAAACAAACAACAAAAACCTTCATCACAGAAATGTACTTCATTTGATGCCCCAGATTTGATAATTTGAATATGCATTTAAATCAGAATGAGTACAGTTGAATAATTTTGAAATCTATTTTGTATATAGAAATTTAAATACATGTTAAGTTGTGTTAATACTTAAGCGTTTCTATAATGTAAATCATGATTTTGTATATATTGTAATATTAATTTTTCCATGAAAATGCATCTTACATTAAAATGAAACCATCTTTTTACACTTTTATATGTTATTTCTTATAATAACTCTGTGAAATGAATTGGGTGGATTCATAGTGTATAATTATGTTTGCCCTAACTAGTTTGAATTTCCAGGTTTAAAACAACCAACCATCATTTAGAATTCTGTACTTGGCGTTTTTTTTGTTTTCCCACAAGTTTCAGTATTTTATTTCTATTTCTTTACTAGACTTTCTATGCAATTATCAAGACAAAATTGAAAACAACATAGAATTCCAACTACAGACTCCAAAATAATAACAAGTGTTATTCATCAGGGGCTTTTCGGATTTTAATATCCCCCTGTTCAATAGACTCTTCAGGTTGACTAATATCCCAAATGTAGATTATCAATTATCTCTGACGTCTGTTGAATTATACATACGCATGAACAATTCTTGTTTTATGCCCCGTCCAACTCCATTCCCATTAAAAAAATGGCTATTTCAGCGTTGTTATTGTTTGGTTCAATATAAAGTAACATGGCTTAATTTAGCAATCCTGTACCAATGTACCAGGAAATAACAGTATGTCCATTGATTTAAATGAAGCTGACTCTGAGGAGACATATGGGGAAAAGCTATTCACATATGAATTTTTTTGTAGCTGTCAAATGGTATATGTGTTTATTCAGTAAATATAATTTTTTTTCATATTATATTTTAAACCATTATAGCAATTTAAATTTGCTCTGATATCAAGTAAGTAAATCTTCACTAGATGTTGTTTTTGCAGTGTAGTTTGTAAAATTAAATTTGAGATCCATAAATTAGAACAAATAATCTTCTTGTTCCTGTATCTCCTGCACTTGTGCGGAAGTAAATTTCAATTTTCCTTTGTCATGCTTTAGAACTAGCTTTGACAAGAGATTTTCCAAATGATTTTAAGTTTTGCAACTTAGCTTCCTCACTCTTTCCCTATTTTTCTTATCAAGCATTCCCATCTATCCCACTTTCACTTGCTCTTCCTGGTGGAATATGCCTTTTTCTGCATAGCCCCCCCCCAAAAAAATCCTGGTTATTTGAACAGCTTTATAAATAATAGCCATTTATGGCTCTCCTCTCCACTAAGCTTCCTGTAACAACAACAATATCCTGAGAAAATTAGTTATGCTCTGACATATTAACATTTTTATCTGTTTCATGTTACATTCATGTCAAAATTATCTTTTAGTTTTAAAGTATGGAAATATAGCTTTGTAAATTATTTCCATATCACTAGTTTTTCAGTTACGTACTTGCTGAAGGCCATTCACTTATCTCAACTGAAAGGTTTCCTGAATAAATAAGGTTGTTTACACAGTAATTAGATTCAGACATTTCGCAAAACATGATTCATCTAAATGATTGATAAGTTTGTCATTAATATCCCCTGCCAAGTAGTTTTTCCTACCTCCTTATTTTAAAAGTCCTCGTTTTCTTTCTGACACATTTATATACTTAGGATGCTGTTAGGAATTTCAACCATATAAAGATGCCATATTTACTCATTTTCTTTCTGTTTCTTTAATTTCCTGAAATTATTACTATATCATCTGAAATACATTGACTTGAAATCAGGGGTGGGTTTCAACCGGTTTGCGGCGGTCCCCACGAACCGGTTGGTCGGCGAACCCGGAAGTAAGTAACTTCCGGGAACGGCGAAGGGCCCACCCGCCCGCCCGCGCTCCTTACCGGTCTTTGAAGGCTTCTGCGCTTCCACGCAGGCACATGGCACATACAGCTCCTGCGCGATTCTCCACGAGCAGCTGGATGGCACATACAGCGCCTGCGCGAGTCTCCGCGAGCAGCTGGAGCATCGCGCAGGCGCTAAGACGCATGCATGAACTGAGTGCGTGCATGAGGACACCGCCGGCCCCGTTCCAACCGAACCGGTTGGAATGGGATTAGCAACCCACCACTGGGGTGTACCTAGGTACAC